CCAGCTCCAGGTTGAGCTGTTGTTCAGCATCTTAGCTGTAGAGGGCAGTGTCACTGGCCCTCATATGTGGGATCCGAACCGGGGCCCTTTGGCGTCCCAAGCCAGTTCTTAACCATCGCGCCACTCGGCCGGCCCTCTCTGATCTCTTAACATGGGGTGCCCCAGCATTTTTATCTTGGATCTCTTCTCTTCTCTTCCCAACCTACACTCATTTCTTGGTAGTATCATTCAGTTTCGTGTCTCTAAATTCCACCTAGAAGCTGAGGACTTCACTATGTATTCCCATTTTGGACTTCTTTGAATTCTAGCCCTGCATATCCAGTTGCCTACTCTATATCTCTATTTGGAAATCAAATAAACATCTCAACCTAAGATATGTAGAACTGAAACCCTGATAGTCCCTCCGAAACATGCTCAATCTGTAGTTTTCTTCCATCTCAGTTAATGGCAACTTCATCCTTGCAGCTGCTCAGACCCAAAGCCCTAAAGTCATGTTTGATCTCACGATTTCTTTCAAAACCTCACATCTAATCCTCCAGCAAATTCTGCTGGCTCTGCCTTCAGAATATATCCAGAACCTGACCAGGTCTCATAACTGACCATGACCACTCTCCAAGGTCTTTGCAACATACTTCTAATTACTCTCCTGTTTCCACCTTGTCTGCTTAGTCTCTCACTCCTAGTGAAAGCTCTAATCATTACAACGGGCTACCAGGCCCCACTGAGCTGATCTTTCTCACCTTCTAATGACTCTACTCCAGGCACAACAGCCCCTCCTGCTTTCTACACTATGTCAGGTATGCTTTCACCCTAGACCTCTGTCTGCTTTCTGTTTTCTTTTCCTGAATTTCAGTCTGTGTGATTATAACACCATGTGATTAGCCTTCAACTAAAGCAGCCTAACTGCAGCTGTGACATCACCCTTCATCGATCAACTCTTCTTCATAAACAATCTCACTGTACTGGTACAAGGACAAAGAGTTTCTCAGGCAAAGACTTTCTGGGAAATTCCCAGAGCAGTGAGTCTAGCTGAGAAAAACTTTAGGCCAAAGCCACCTGGTGCTGGTTCTAGGTCAGTGTCGGGAGTTTGTGTCTGGGACAGAGGTCTGCACAGATCAGGGAGGTCTTGCTGGTTATACAGGACCTCTGAAAGGCAGAGGCAGGTCATGGCTTTCTCGAAAGTGTGAGTCCAGGGGAGCCCAGGTCCTTTCCTGGCACCCGGAACCACCTCTGCTGGCTCAGCTTAGAGCTACACACCAGTCCATCAAGACAACTTTGGATTTGTCAGGGTTAAGCAGTGGTCTTTGGGATCAGGAAAGTGATCAGAACCCTGGACAGGCTCTGTCTCTGCAGCCTAGTCCACTTTAGGGAGGTAAGTGGGGAAATTTTATGTTTTTGGTTGTTTACCTTGATGGGACACATTATTATTAGACTAAAGGCCTTCTGAAGTATGTATGTACTAGGTCATTTTTTAGTGTTTTTTTTTAATTCTCTTTTCTATAACTTTTAATCATGAGTTAGATGTAAAGTAAGATGGTTTAATCTGCAATACCAAAGGTGGGCTAGAGAAGAGGTTGGAATCTAGCACACGAATGAAAATCAGCATGGCTTCTGACTGTAAAAGGGCAGCTGGGGTTGGCTCTGAAGGGGAAGGCTACCTGTTCTGCTTGTACAGCAGACTGGGTCCATGGGGCGCTCCTCACCTGACACTGGGACAGGGTTTCAGAGGCAGCACAGGCTGATAATGGGCTGGGACAGGGAACAAGGGAGGAAGACAGACTCCTGAAAGGCAAGGCAGAAGAGCCTCTCACCATCAGACTGAGGATCAGAACAAGGCTCCTATCCTCAAGGGGATGGGGAATAGTTAGGGTTAGTGGGTCAGAACAAAAGAATAGGCACCAAGGCAGAGGCTACCATGGGTCAGAGGAACGAAAGAGAATAACATCACTAATAGTTCATTTAACATGGATTTAATAGGAAATAATGATATTTCTCTGCCATCCAGAGTAAAATATCCCAAGTACAGGGAACAGATGAAGTAAGAATGTTTCTTTTGGTGTCTCCCATGTCTACTTTCAGAAACACCCTTTAGCCCCCCATTCAACCCTTATTGTACCCCCCTCTTATTCCTCTCTCTTTCCCAATCTCCTCTCTTCCTCCCTCCCTTTCTTCTTTAGATATTTATCGAGCACCCACCATGTGCCTAGGGTTTAAGAGAAAATTTCTTTTCTCATGGATCTTATATTCTAGCCAGGCAAACCATACTACAAACAAACATATAACTATTAAACATTATCAAGTGGTGAATAAAATAGGATATGAAAAGGTATATGCAGGGTGGCCAGGAAAGATCCATCTGCCAAGATGACATTTGAGCAGAGCCCTGGATGAAGTCAGGGAACAAACCATGCAGGCGTGTGGACCGAGACCAGGGTGGCCAAAGGCCGTGAGCTAGTAGTGTGTTTAGCTGTTTGAGAAAGAGCAAGGAGGATGGTGTGGGTGCAGCCAAGGCAGGAAGAGAAGGGAGTGGGAAGAGATGAAGTCAGAGGTAACTAAAGGCCATATCCTGTGGTAATAGCTAGCTGTATCTCATTCAGCTTGAGGAATTTGTCTTCCCAGGGAAAATTTTCTTAGTGGCTTCTCAAATACTACAGAAGCAGCCAAAGTTAAACGAACGATTCTGGAGTGTCCTTTCAATGTCTGGGGGAGAAACGCTTCATACTCCACCACTAATATCTGCCTTTCACAGCCTTACTTCCCTGCTCTTCTCTAAAAGTTATTTCCAGGCTGAGGATGTGGGGGTAGCAGGAGAAGAGGGGACTTTCTGCAGCAGGACAGAAAATATCAGACTGTGTTCTCTGGCAATGGGCCTCCTCCCACCCAACGGATGTGTCCAGGGAGGGCCGCAAGGCATGCGGGAAGTAGATGAAAAGGCAAATATGGCTTTGGTGTAGCTTCCCCTGCCCGCCTCAGGATGGGTCTCATTTTCCAGTGGTTCAAAACCTCTCAGGTGTCAACAGGTTCTTCTTCTTAAAACAAGGTTAAGTCTCAGGATTCTGTGAACATTAAAAAAAATGTGCTTACAGACTTTTGGTAAACTCATAGTTCCCGCTTGCCCTCTGGAACTTTCACCTTACATCTACAGGGTTGAATAGCCAAAAGCTTGTCAGCTCAATTTGAGTGTTGAAATGAATTATTGACCATTTTGTTTTTATACTGAGAACTGGGGAACCAAGGGGCCAAATGGCATTTTAAAACATATGCATTTAACATGTGGAAAGAGAGAACATTTCTAGTTCCAAATAGAGAAGTCATTGGCAGTATTTAATCAAAAAGGGGATAGAGTTCATGCTTTCTGTTCTTTCTTTCTTTCTTTCTTTCTTTCTTTCTTTCTTTCTTTCTTTCTTTCTTTCTTTCTTTCTTTCTTTCTTTCTTTTTCTTCTCTTTTTTTAAGGACTAAATAAATAGTTGACTAAAAGTTCTACTTTAGTGAAGATTT